TGAAAACCACCTGTTTTGCAGGCTGCATCCTGAAGTGGTGAAGGGCGTTCTGAAGTGGTCAAGTGAGAGTTTTTGGCATTCTGAAAATCCTAAATGGTCCTGAAGTGGTGAAAGGTCCGAAGACCATGAAAACCACCCTTCACCACTTGAGGATGCAGCCTGCCTAAACAGGTGGTTTTCAGGGTCTTCGGAGCTTTCACCACTTCAGGACCATTCAGGATTTTCAAACCTGAACGGTCCTAAAGTGGTAAAAGGTCCGAAGACCATGAAAACCACCTATTTAGGTAGGCTGCATCTTGAAGTGGTGAAGGGTGGCCTGAAGTGGTGATGAAAAATACGACTGTTGTTAACCTTCTCTCGTCCAGCCGCGAAGCAACAACAACTCCCGTGGAAAAGGAAAGGCGAAAACCGCATCGCCGACTGGAAATGGACAGCCAGTACCATGGGTCAAGTTTAACTTGACCAAGGCCTAATACAAGTACCGCAGTCGATACGGTTGCTGCTATTGGTGCAACAGGACCAAGCACAAGACCTTCCAATGGCAGGATTAGGGCAAGGAGGATGTTCGACCTCACATCAGCTCGGGAAACTGAGTTGAGCGGGAGGTGAGGCGACTCCACCTCTCACTCTGCCAGATCCGACCGCCTTCCTAACGGCCTCCTACACATCTGGGGAGAATGCGGATGTCGAGAGTCCTCGGTTCACTTACAAGGATTACGCTGTCCACTTGGTCCCACCGTTGGACCAGCCACTCTATGTGAAACAATCCACCGCATGCACGGTTTCACCACCATCGACAACCGATTCGGCAGCTTCGCCGCCAACTATCGTCGGGGATTCGACGTCATGGTCAAGACTTGAAGAACTGACCCGTTAACGTTCGCGGACTTCCAATGGATGCCCCTTCCCCCGACCGGTCGATTACCGAAACCGCATTGCAATGTGCTCATGGCCCAATTGCGGGATTACTTGCACACTGCAGTACCATCTCCGTTGATGGGCACCGGAGTAGAGGTTGTTGAACTTCACAACTACGTTGCGAAGATCGACCGCGAGTTCAAGACACAACGGTACGACGACATCGGCATGCCATTGTTGTACATACGCATTCAGATCCGAGAGGCGACCTGCATCGGTTTGATCGATTGCGGAGCTATCCGCAACTATATCAGCCAAGACTTTATGGTACGCGCTGGCCTTGGGCCACGCGTTCGGAGGAAGTCGTAGCCCACGCAAGTCACATTGGCCGACGGTCACACGCACACGTCAATCGATCGGTGCATTGATTCCATGCTCGTGTTCTTTGCCCCGCATGCAAGCGAGGCAGTGTCCTTCGACATTTTGGACACCCATTCGACATGATTTTGGGCATGTTATGGCTGCGAAGCGAGGATCACCCGGTGAACTTCTACCGCCGCATCGTTCACGTTCGTGATCGGAATGGAGTACTAGTCCCATGCACGGTGCCTCCACCCCACCCTTCGATCAGCTGCCACGTGGTGTCCGCCACAAGCATACGAGCTTCCATCACGAGGGACGACATCGAGGAGATGGGGGTGTGTTTTCTCCACGCCCTCCCTCCCCAGGACATCCCATTGACGGACGCATCGACGGACCCACGCATCATCGAGTTTCTCAACGCCTACGGCGACGTGTTCGAAGCCCCGCACTAGGTTGTACCGGATCGGCCCATCCGCCACGAGATCATCCTCGAGGCCGGGGCCGTACCTCCGAGTGGTTACATCTACCGCATGAGCGAG